CTTAAGTGCAATTTACAATATTTGATGTTAAAATGGATATTTACAAACCAAGGAAGGTTAAATCATGAGGAGTATGAGATGTACATGTAAAAGTTACTATTACATGCAAACTATGGTGTGCCAAAAAAGAGAACTTAGTAGGGAACATGTGGGACCCCCACCATGTGAAGAAATGGGAAAGATAAATTTAAAGATTATTTGCATGTAATTTGATTGCTGCATTTGGTGTTCAAATGAGGAAAGTGAAATGTGGGTTGCATGAGACTTGATTGGTTGGATAAAAGGCCAAAAAAAATATAAAGGAAAGTTGTGCATGAAATGTAATTGGAAGAAATGGGTGGCAAAGGAAATAAAAATAAAAGTAAGAAAATGAAGTGGCAAATGGAAGGCAATTAAGATAGATTTTGGACCAATGAGCAAAAGAGATAATGTGTGCATGAAATGTGAGTGGAGAGTGAGTTGGTCCAATGAGAATAAGGAACAAATAAAGGAATGAAAAGGAAAAAGAATAGAATAAAGAAACCAAGAAAAATAAAAGTGAAAAAGATATAGAAAATGGGTGTGATGGGTGGACAGCTTTTCAAGGCTTTTTCCTTGTGCTTTTGTCACAAAAAGGGAGAAGAAAACATGCCAAAAAGGCCTGAAGCTTTAGGCAATCCGCCCATAGAGAAAATAAAGAGAAAAAGGAAAGAAAACAACATGAAAAGCAAATGACCTTGGGCAATCCGCCCATAGAGAACAAAATGGAGAAACCAAAGGCATTTTCAAGTCTTTTGCCTTGAGAGATCCGTCCACTACCAAGAAGAAACGAAAAAGGAGAAGAAAGAAGGAAGGGAAAGGAAGAAAGGAATGAGAGAAGATGAGAAAGGAGGAAGATGAAAAAGGAAAGGGAAGGTTCAACTTAGTGGACTCGAGGCACGATAAGTGATGAGATTTTCATCCTTCATGACATGCATACATTGTAAATCAATTTTAAGTGTGCTTTGGTTTGTGGTAACAACAACCCACATGGATTCAAAGGATCCGAGGCATGCATGCAAGTAGATCTTAGAATCTATGGTGATTTTGGAGCTAAATGAACAATGGGTAAGTGTTTTAGTTATGAAATCGTAAGTGGAAAGGAAAAATGAGATGTATATTGATTGATTATTTTTGTGGCAGCAAAGGTAATCTTAGAGGTGAAGAAGTTGTGAATCACATTTGGGAAATTCAATCTTAAGCCAAGAAGTAAGCATGCAAAGTGACTATATTGTGTCGTATAACCTCAAGTTGGTTAAAGTGTATGGATAGTGTGATAAATGTTTGTGAGTAATTGTTGATAAAACTATGAAATTTAGTTAAGGATTGTTGGTTGATATGCTGCCATTTATGAGTATAATTAAATAAATTGAGTTTGAATGCATGCTAGGAAGAGAATAGTAAGCAAAGTTGCCATGGTGGTGTTCTAGAGGAAGTAACGAGAGATCGGCAAGTAGAAATTAGCTTGATACACGCTTAAGTCAATAGCAAAGTAGTGTCTCGCGATTGTGAGGTGAGTAGGGGTGCCGATTTTAAAATATCTGTATTATATATTGATTTATGTTAATAAACGTGATTGGATTTCTTAAAAGCATTTGTGGATAGCATGAGCTGTTAGCCATGATAGGCAATTTTGAATGGATTTACAATGATTTATATATTGCTATTGTGGAAAGCATGAGCTGGTAGAAACTATAGGAAGTTTGTGAATGCAAGTGTTTTTAAAGTGATTTGGATATACCTATAGATAAGCTATACTTGTAAAGAGTTTTAAAAACTGGGAAACAAGCCTTTCACAATGTTTGTATCAAAATTTGTGCCTTCTATTCTTTTGTATCATATGCATACCTAATGTATTTGTTAAACAATTTTGAATGCGAGTTTTGAGCTTCTGTTTTAGATCGATTTGTATATAAATATTTACACCATGCCATTTAGTTTGAAA